TACCAGAAGATGAAAATTTATTTAGAGATATGCATCTCTAAACAGTTAGGCATTTATAGTTTGAAATTATAATTGAATAAACATTTAGGAAGTAACATTTAGATGAATTTCATTGTTTATAAGTATTTAAATAAAAAAGATGCCTGAAACATGACAGAGAACTTGATTGAATGCCTCTGTAAATGCTGTTTAGATGTTCAGCAAAGTTAATGTGTGAAATCTGAAAATAAACGCCTGTTTAACCTCCATCTAGAAAGGGCAGAGCTGAAAAACCGCTGTCTCATTCTCCACGGGCCCAGAGTCAGCCTCACTCAGGGAGGCCACTAACCCCTTTTCAATGCTCAGTCTGCAGCTCTCCTGGTGTCTAACACAGAGTCTCTAAATATGCCTACTTTGACCAGTGCTTCTCCAAGCGCGAGACATTGCTCCCTCCCCGCCCCCCGGGGGACGGGGCGGGGCTGCAAAAGCAATGCCTACACTTTACCCTGGATTATGGACCAGCAGCCAAACGCTTTTAATGGCCCATCATTAAAATAATTTGAATAACTTTTTTTCCTAAGAAGGGGGTAGTAGGCCAAATAAGTTTGGGAACCTATAATTTACAGACTATTTATTAAGTGGACCAAGAGAGATGGTGATTTAGCTCACCTTTATAATGTTCTCTTTTAGCTCCACTCCAACAGCCACCACTTAAGAAAGACACATTAGTGGGGTGAGTACCGAACCCAGCCCGCCGAGAGCCCGGTGGCAGTCTGCCTCTGCGGAGACTGCAGCCTTGGGAACCCCAAGAGGCAGTTCCATGCTGTCCCACGGGGACCGGGAGCTCTGGTGTTGTCGTGGTCATTCACTGGGCTACTCACTGCAAGGTCCGCTGCTGGAAACCCCTGCTGCTCCCACCTGGAAAAGGGCGAGACTTTCTCGTCAGAGTTACAGTCCCCGAAACTCACACTGGCAGCTCCCCGGTCCTATAGAGTGCCACTGTGTAGCAGTGAGGTTTGGGCTATCGGGTTGCTCTGAGGTGGCACCCAGTTGACGGCAACGGATACAGCTTGGGGGGTCTGGGTTTCATCTGTCGATCTTGAATGAATGCATGCACAATGCCATTGTCTTGTCTTTTAAATTAAAAAAAACAAAACCTGAAAACGTGTACAATCCGTGGAGTGCTGGTGAACGCTTACCAAACGGCTCTCAGGAGAGACACCACCCACTCCGCCAGTCTAACCAGGTTCAAGCCACCGGCCTAACCAAGCGGCGGGCAGAGCTTGGCTCCCACACATGGCTGAGTTGACATCCCGCTGCATCATCTTCCTTTCCTGTCTCCCCAGCTCGTTCCTCTGCCAGCTCCTTTCCCCGATGCCGATGCCGTCAGGTCGTTTGTATTCACGGCGGGCTCTGCCACCCCCGCCATAGTGTTACAGAGATTAACCATTAGATGGCTAATTTTTAAAAAGCCAACCACATCACACGTAGGTTATGCTAATCCCAGGACCCCGCTCTTCGAAAGTTCCCTCAACAGCACTGTGCTTTTACAAAAGGCCAACGTTAGATCTATTTTTCCTCGCCAAAAGAAATCTGAGGGAGGTTTTAGTCTTGGGGTGGGTGGGGGGTGGGTGGCGGGGGTTGGAGGGGGGAGGCCCAACATGAACCCAGCGTTCAGCAGCTGCAGGTGGCGGAGGCCAGCCTCCTTCCCTGGGAACTCCACGCGGCCTTCAGCACCGAGGCGGCCTCGCTGTGGGTGGTGCTCGTGAACACTGTGAGCTTGTGCGATTTCAGGCTTCGTGTGTTATTCGGCAGGCTATTCTTATTATTTTGATCTGGGAATGCTCAAAATCTTTTTTTCATAGAGAGTGATCCAAAAATGCAAACTTCACCATCATTGCGATAGCTAGAATGGATTCCGCTCACATAGATCCGCAGGGCAGAGCAGAAGTGCCCCTGGAGGGGTCTGGAACCGGAAATGTTGCCAGGACGACAGACTCTCATCTTTCTCCCACATGAAGCGAGAGACACTGTTTTCTCACCTCATACCGTTCTGGCTCGTCAAAGGCTTGGTAGGCCTGCTCTATCTACTTTGAGCGAGCGGGGGAACCCTGTACACATATTGTTGGCCAAGAAGGGGC